GCTTCTTGCAGAGTAGGCGGAGCAACTCCCAGGATCCGCGCGCCACAGCGCCTGCGGGCGGAGCTAAGGCTGTGCCCCATGTGGGTAGGGTTTAGGGTTTAGGGTTTAGGGTTTAGGGTTTAGGGTTTAAGTTCTCTATAGTACTTATAGTCTCCATTGTAGTTCCTTTTTTGGGTTTAAGCAATTATATATTGAGAAATGTATCAGGTATCCCCAAAAAGGAGCTACAATGGAGACTATCTTAGGGTCCCTTTTCTAGGTTCCCCAAATAGTACGGCACTCTCATAAAGAGGACCCTAAAAGGGACCCTGATTTACAGAACTACCCATGTAGCTTTGAGGTTTCTATGAGGGTCTTGCAAGGATTTGTAGGCTTCAATGAAGGCTTCCGACCAAGCAGGTCTTAGATACTGTTACGATTAAAGGTGTTTTGGGGTTTAGGGTATAGGGTTTAGGGGTTCAGGGTTTAGGGTTTAGGGTTTAGGGTTTAGGGTAAAGATTCCGAGTGTAGAAACCCTACATTCGACTATACAGGTACTTTGGGCCCTCTTGGGCGAGGGTAAGAAAATCACTTCGAGCCCCTTACCACAGAGATGCTCTGAGACACCTCAAAGAGCCGAGTAGCTTGCCTTTGATTAAAGGAAAGTACAGGTGCTTGCCTTTGATTAAAGGAAAGTACAGGTGGGGAGTTTAGGGTATATAGGGCTTCTGTACGGCTTCCATAAGGTATAGAAACTCTCTATAAAACTCCTCTAACGGTAACTACCCACCTGAAAGTATCCTAGAATTAGGGTTTACTACGGTTTCGGGTTTAGGCTTTAAGGTTTATGACCACCAAGACCTCGAGCTATTGTTGCCATGAGTCCTGAACCTCAAGCTGTGTTGTAGTCTGAGGGCCGTCAAACATCTTGATAAAATAGACCAAACCCGAAATCCCAAACCCCTAAACTCCAAACCTAAACCCTAAACCGCTAAACTCCAAACCTCTGCACTCCGAAACGCCTTAAGCCTCCTAGAAGCTGTAAGTCCTAGGCCTTTCGACGTCGAGCGCCGTGCCGGGCTTTCATAAGCCTGCAGCTGGCTTGTCTGAAAGATTGATGTAGGGATTTAGGGTTTAGGTTTTAGGGTTTTAGGGTTCCTTTAAGGAACAGGTCCAAAAACGAGCAGTAAAGTATGGTACGCCAAACCCAGCAGAGCTCAAGCTTCAATGGCTTCATGGTGCCAGTCTTCGGGTTTATAGGGTTTACCAACACCCCAACTACCCTCTAGTAGAGCCTAAAGTACCTCTGTTCAAGCCCGAAGTGTACTGGGGGGTGGGGGGGTGCTGGTAGGGTCTGAGAGTCGGAAAGGCTTCTAATTTTTTGCAAGGTGAGTTTAGGGCTTAGGGTTTAGGGTTTAGGGTGTAGCTCTAAGCAGGAGACCTGACCTATTTGGGGTGCTCCTTCTGTTATACCTAAACCCTACACCCTAAATAGGAGCGTTGACAGAAGCACATTATCCCGGGTAGAAATTCAAGGATGGCACAGGTCGAAGGTCGCTGGGTTCGGGGTGTTGGGATGCTGGGGCCTATGTGGCGCTCAGGGAACGTGGGACTAGTTTAGGGTTTAGGGTTTAGGGTTTTAGGGTTTAGGGCTTAGGTTTTAGGGTTTAGGGTTTTACGAGCTATTTTGAAGTTCTTACAAACCCTAAACCCTAAACCCAAATCCAACATACT